TTATTTTACCCTGGATTCCTTGTTAAAGAGGCATTTCATTTCACATTTTACTTCATTAGAAAGTCTGTAATTTTTAGCAACAAATGTGATCAAAGACTTTCTCAAACCAATTTAACAGTTCCAGACAATTGATATGGCACTTTCATGCTTTTGGAAGAACAGGGAAAGTAGCACATTGAAAAATCCTGTTAAGAATAATGGAGTTAAGAGGGTTTTTTTTTAACCTAATAAAATACTATCATTTCAAATAGGTTAATAGAGCTGCTCTAATTATTAGGGCTCTAGAATTTGAAGCTTGAAAAGTCAAACACACTTTAAGCAGGTATGGTTAATTCTAAATTGCTCCATGCCCCATTACAGACAAAAGAGAGAAACAAAACAAAAGAAAACAGCTTTCAGTTTATCTACCATTCACTTTATATGATGTAATATAACCAGATTGGCCAATTTTTCAATCTAATTACTTGGCTGAGTACTTTGGCCTTTTATTTCCACTTAAGATTTATCACCCATAGGGGCGCTTGGGTGGCTCAGTCAGCTAAGCATCCAACTCTTGGTGTTAGCTCAAGTCATGATCTCATGGTTGGTTAGTTTGAGCCCTGCATCGGGCTCTGCACTGATGGTAGGGGGCTTGTTTGGAATCTCTTTGTCCCTTTCTCTCTCTATTCCTCCTCTACTTGTACACATACTCTGTCTCTATCTCAAAATAAATAAACTTAAAAAAATAATTTAAGAAAAAAGATTTATTACCCATAAAACAGGTTAAATATGCAAAATATTTTTTGTTTGGAGTGGTATATTTGTATGTCTTGCATTATTCAACTTGGGTTAAACGTGTACTTTAAACTTGAGTAGGAACATCTATTTACACATACCACATTCTTCTTTCTTAACTGCTATATCCCAGCCTTCAGAACCATGATTACTACGTGGTTGGAGCTCAGTAAATGTGCTAAATGATTGAGAGAATGAATAAGTGAATGAGGTATTTATTTCATATTCCTTAATGTCTCTTCATTTAAAATATTAACAATTGGGGTGCCTGGGTGGCTCAGTTGGTTAAGCATCTGACTCTTGATTTCAGGTCAGGTCATAGTCTCATGATGAGATTGAGCCCTATGTTGGGTTCTGCACTGAGCATGGATCCTGTTTAAGGTTCTCTCTCACCCTCTCTCTGCCCCTTCTCCTGCTCATCCACTCTCTCTCCCTCTCACTCTCTTTCTCTCGATATATATACACATACTATATATATCATATATACCATGCATATATGATATATATCATTATATATCTGTACCATATTTTTTTTGAGAGAGAGAGAGTCACTGCAGGCAAATAAAGAATCTCTATGGTTGGCAGCATAATATTCCTGCACCTTTTTGATAAATTTCAAATAGTTTCAGTCATCATGATTAAAGATTTCTTTAGAAAAAGCTATTGCCTGTTTCAGCTCTTAATCACTCCTACTCTAAATCACAGACCATGCTTATGACTTCAGCTGAGATTTCCTAACAGAATGGCACTTTTTTAATGAACAATACCCATTATTGTTTTTTGGAATAAAGTTTTGAAATTCAATTTTGAAGTTACCTTAATGGATACTATATTTCTATATGAGATTATTTAGAAATGGAAGGTATACACTTTCAGTTTCTGTTCCTAGAGATAAAATAAGCATAATAGGTTACAAACTCTTCCCTGAAAGCGTGGAAAGCTTTTATTATTTAAAAATTATGTTTTAAAACAATTTAAAACATTTTTTAGTTCTTTAAATCTGCCAGCTATATGCTCTTTAATTAGGAAGAGACTCTAGTAAGATTAGAATGCACATTTTACTGAACACAGTAAAATCTTCATATAAATGGAAATGTACTTAATAGATTTTATATATTCAGTTAGAGTCATGTAAAATTAAATCTATTTGTAGGGAAATAAGTTTGGCTTCTTTAGTCAGGAAAAAAAAGATTAAATCCTATCTGGAAGGATTTGGAATTTATTTGATTAGTTTATCAGCCCTTTTAATAGTTTAGGATAGAGTAATTACAGTTTCAAAATATGCCTTAAACCATGGAGAATAGCAAATTGACAAGTGATTTACAGTTGCCAATGGAATGTTTTTGATCCGGTGGGAAACTAGTCCACTCTGCTCAAAATTTGTGTAATTTTCTAAAATGTGAGTCTTAACAAAGCCTTCGTACAGTCAATATTAAGCAGGCATTATTCCAAAGACCACTATATTGTATTCCTAGCATAAGCATGTACATTTGCTGAACTCCAAACATTCTGTTTTATTTTATTAATACTTGTCACTTAAACTCATAATTAGGTCAATGTCCTGACCCTAGGATTGCACCCTGACTGGTTATAGCCCTCTAAGGATTAACCAGTTGCAGTGGAAGACAGAATGCTAGAGTTTTCATAGAAGCTATATTTGATCCTTACAAAAACTCTCAAGTCAAGGACACATTGTCATTGAGGTTGGAGAGGTGGGCAGGGCCGGGGACATAACAAGCCAGTGCTTAGCTTTCTGTGTTATGAAAAGTCATTGGATATTTTAGATAAGGAAGGAGTAATCTGTCTATGTTTTTAAAAGATTACGCTGGTTGGGTGCCTGGGTGGCTCCATTGGTTGGATGTTGGACTCTTGATTTGAGCTCAGGTCATGATCCCAGGGTCATGATCTTGAGCCCTGCATCAGGCTCCTGAGATCAAGCTCTGCATGGAGCCTGAGTTATTAATTAATTAACAATTATTTTTGGCAGCTATGAAGAGAACTTACTTTAGAAGGGCATGAGTAGAAGCAGTGAGACCAGTGAGGATCATCTAAGAGAAGAGTTAAATATTCAGGTGAGAGATGAGAAAGGATTTTGATCTTGGGTGATAGAATGGAGATGAGGGGAAGTGGACAGAGTCCATTTAAATTTTGAAGGTGAGCTTATTTGACTTGATAGAATGAATGTCGAATCTGAGGGCAAAGGGAAATCAAGTGTGGTTTCTAGGTTTTTGGCTGATAACTGAGAGAGGGAAGATGAGAAGAGCAGGTTTAGAAGTCTGTGGGTTTTCAGGGGGGCAGTAATGCAGCAGGCTAAATACGTGTAAAGATACGGATGAAATGGAATGTCATTAATAGCAAAGGTATGGAAAGTAAAGGAAATGTTACATTTGGCAGTAGGTAACACAGCATGCTACTGTCTGAGGTTTGACTCTTCCAGGGCCCCAACATCCTCACGGGACATAGATGACAGCTCCTATACAGATATGTGATGTGGAGCCATTTTTCTAGGGGCTTGCTGCTTCCCATCACACATAGGACCTGCTACCCTATTTTGGACACTTGCTTTATGCTGCCTGCTCACTAGGGTAGATCACTTTTGACTGGATATAGTCCAAGTCTTCTTCCCAAAAGCATCCCTGAGCTTCCTCAGGCTTCACACCTGTCTGAAACTCTCTCCTGTAGTAGAAAGAATGTGATTGAATGTGAGTGTGAACCACCTACTAGAAAACCATTTATAAAACCCCTAGTGCTGGCAGATCTCACATTTATTCAGTTCACAAAGAGTGTGATAGAATTGATAATACAATGAGGGATATTATAGATATGTAAAAAAGAAGAACTAATTGATATAATGCCCGTGCTTTGTGATCTTAGGAGCACAAAACAGTAAGTACACAGCATTATTAACATTAAACCACACCTGTGAAACTAGACAAACATATAAAAGAAACTGTACTTATGTCTATAAAACCAACTACAACTAAACATTAAATATTTTGGGGAAACCTGTACAGAGAGGCAATCCAGAAAAATTAATAATAATTTCAAAGGAGAATTTAGTATGGCAAAGAAGACAAAGCTAGGGTAAATGGACAAACTGACATAATATGAATAGAAAGTACAAGCAGAATGTTACAAAAAATGAGACTGTATGATTAGAAAAATGATTGGCAAAATGTGCTCAGACTACTGATTTAGAATTGTGTATGAGGTAATTTTAAGAGGTTATCTTGATACAAATGTTACTCAGACAGACATAATCTAGTACTGAGATTATGAGGGGCATCTGCATGTCTCAGTCAGTTAAGTGTCTGACTCTCGATTTCAGCTCAGGTCATGATCTCATGATTTGTGGGTTCAAGTCCCATATCAGGCTCTGTGCTGATAGCACAGTGCCTACTTGGAATTCTCTCTCTACCTCTTTCTCTCTCTCCTTCTCTCTCTCTCTCTCTCTCTCTCTCTCAAAATAAATACATAAATTTGAAGAAAAAGAAAAGAGGACCTTTGGATATTAAACATTATATTTCAAACACAGCCCCAACTCTAATCCTGAAGAGTAAGTACTAATGAGTTCCTAGGAGGCAGGGGCCTTGCTGTTGCAAGCATGAAACTCAGCATCTGCCAGACTCTACTTTGAGTCCCAGCAAGGACACCTGCTAGTTATGTGACTTGCATGAGATGCTTAACCTCGATAAGCTCAGCTTCTGCCTTTGTTGAACAGGAATAATTATGCCTGTCCTAATGAATTATTGCTCCTGAAATAAGGAACTTGGCAAAGAATTTGGACCTGTGCCTGAATTGATGGCAGTGGTCTGCCATCTGGGGTAGGGTCAGGGACAGTGCGGTAAAGGGAAAGAACTGTGTGTGGTGTCTGATGACCGTCCTGCCTGGTCAGTGGAAAGCCCTTCCTTCCCACCACTTACAGTATTTCAGATGCTTACAGGCACACTCTTCAGCAATCCTTAGACACCATCCAATCTAACCCCTTTACAAAGGCTGCACTTTTATAAAGGCTGACTTTGACCGTTTGTGTGGCAGCCTGTTCATGACAGTGTTCTTTACTCCAGACATTTCTCAATGTCATTAATCTCACAAGTTCTTAATTCAAGTGTTAGCCTCATTAAATTAAACATTAATCTACCTGGAATTTTGCTTAATTGCCTGACAATAATGTTAACACGCTCAGATTATTTCTATAGATAATTGTATCACAGATTGACAATGACTTCAATGTGTTAAAGATAGCTGTTATTCAAAACAAAGGCTTAGTGACCTCCAAGAAGTGAAAATGCCATGTCATCACAGAGCAGACTGGATCTTCCGAGTTTGGAAAGAATGTTGGGAGATGCCATGGGTTACATCTCTTCTTGGCCCTATAGCAAAATGTCTTCAGGTTAATGCTTATCATGTCCATAATTTCCCAGTTATGATGTTTGCATAATATGAACAAATATTATTTCTTCACATCCCTCTCACCTTCTACTCTATCTTTTGCCCCATCACTTCTTTTGCAACTGCTTTCAATAAGGTCATATCAGCAATAAGCTTTTACATTTGGCATAGTTAGAAAGTTCTTTCTTGATCTGGAAATAATAATAGGTCATTTTTTTCTTCTACCCTGATCCTTTCTGGTATGTTTTAGGGCTGTTCTTCCTGTTGCCCAACATTCTTTCTTGTGCCTTCTTTTTTTGCCTTCAAATTGTATGTTCTCCCTGGGTAATACAATCGACTCTTCATCCTTTGTTAACAACTCTGTTGACACCCTCCAAATTTACAGCTCTATATATCCAGCCACTATGAGCTCTCATCACTCATGTGTCCTGCATATTATTTCAAATGGAACGTGTTGAACAAGTTGCTTACCTTTTCCACCCAAATTAAATTTTTCTTTCCAGGGATTGATTTCACCAACTACCCAAATGTCCATGCCAGGAGTCCTTACTCACTGCCTCTCTATCTCCAGTGTTCAATAAATCACTGAGTCTGTTAAGAAGTTTTTCATTATAATTCCTTATATAAGTCTGCACTTCTTTTCAGCCCATTGCCCTTGTCCAATTTAAGTCTCCATCTTTTTCTCCTTTAACTACCACAATAGACTCCTAAGTTGTCTTTCCACTTTTCTACTTGATCTCCACCAAAAATTTCTCCATATTTCAGCTAAAGGGATCTTAGTGAAATATGAAAATGATCCTCTTGATTGTTATCTTGTAGAAAGTCCAATTCCTTTAAATAGCATATCTATCATTCTCCAACCTCTGCACACGTCTGCCTCGTTTCCAGCAATCTCCCATTTAACTCACTTTGGCCACACTATCCAGTATGAGCCTACTTTTCCCAGAACAGGGCAACTCTCTCTACCTCAAGCCCTTCACCCGTGTTGCTCACTCTGTCTGAAAGGCTGTCTTCCTGCCTGTTCATTTAGTTACTTACAAGTTGTCTTCCAGAACAATGCTATTTAAGCTTTAATGTGTACAAACCACCTGGAGATCTGTTTAACATACAGATTTCTTTCAGTGGATTCAGGCTGGCACACAAGATTCTGTATCTCTAACAACTGATTCTAAATGGTGACAATGCTCTGGTGGATTACACTCTGACTAGGAAAGTTCTAGAATTTACTTCAGGTAGCATTTATTCTAGAAAAACTTTCCTACCCTGTCAGGGTCAGAAAGCTTCAGAAAGAGGTGGGGTTTTTTTGGTAGCCCATAGAACATTCCCTATACCTTAGCACTCATGATCCTGTGATGTTACTGCCTGTTTATTGTTATGTTTCCACAGTCTAATGGACTGATGCCATCATCATACATTACAGTGTACCCAAAACATTCTGGATCCTCTGCAGTGTGTCACATACTGATATTTCTCTTTGCCTTAGCCGCTTCTGTGTCTACTTCTTGCTCAAAGAACAATTACGCCTTTATCACCTGGGCAATCCTGGCTGTCAGTTGCAGAATATGCACATTTTTTTATGGTGAAAGCATTTTCTGGCATCATCAATGTCTTCTGCTGCCTTGGCAGCCATGTTTCCTCTGCTGTAGTATATTCTTCCACACTCTGGAATGACAGGAAGGATACTAAAATTTTCTTTTAGAGTAGATTCTTTCTGCTTGAATGCCAAAGTGGAAAACATAGCTATAATTATCCAGAAATATAGGCATCATGAAAATTCTTGTTCAATACTGTAGTGTGAGATTTTACTATTTAATCATTCTGTGTCCAATATTATTAGAAAGGTTTGCACTTGTCCAATGGCACTTACATAATATGTTGCCTGATATGCTTGTAGGAACAACTAAATTTAATCAGAAACACCTTGTTCTCTTTTCATCTAGATTATTCATCTCAGAATATCTTCAGATTTACCAGGGATCATTAAATTTGACTACTGAAATGAACGAAGCTTAAGATTACTCATAAACAGGTCAGGGGAAAATATGAACATAGTGGCTATACTTTATGCTTCCTAATTGACAATTACAGAAGTCGAGGTAAATTTAGGGTACACATTGTCTTACCTTATTATGGATAAAATTATGTCTGTCAAGAACATAATCAACCCATAGCCTTGCTTACTGGGTAGGAGGGAGAATGAGCCTTCATAAAAGTTATAGCATTTTCTGTTCTTAGTTGAAAATTTTGAGCAGGAGAGGAATAGGCAGATGAATAAAACATGGTAATGGAATGTAATAAAGCAGAAATTGAGACATATCCACTAAGTAAGATCACAGATAGCATACAAATTTCACTGACCATTAAGATGACTCGTCAGGCAAGATTGTGATATTTTTAATCCCCAAAGTGATTATATGATAAGTCTACAGAGTTTAGATTTTATTAAAAATTTTAAGACTATATGAAAATGGATTATAGTTTCAACTTCCTAGATTTGACATTCGTTTTCAGCATGTAACAGCTCAGCAGTTTTAATGATTATTGCCAGATAATTCTACTCTTTAGACTGATGTAGAAATAACTTTGCAAATGGTTCATCAGTTGTATGCCAGATACTGGTGTGGGGACACTATATATAAAAAGTAACATTTATGGAATAAATGCCTTCCCTTAGCACCCCATCCTTCTCCTCTGAAACATGTGTTTATACACAAATGTAGTGACTCCCAACCAAAGTCCTGCAAATCCTTCCCAACCCCACTTTCTTCACTTTCCATATTAGGGAGGTGAACTACGAGGAGGAGGGCTGGAAGTTTTGCTAAGGTACTGTAGATTCCTAAAACGCTGAGGGTAGTCTCCAGGATTAAAAAAAAATGTGTGTAGTTACTGCTGTTAAGAAACACATTAAAATGAATTTTGAAATGTCACATAATTTTAAAGTATGTATTTTGACATGTCTTTCTTTTATTAATAAGTAGGTATCATAAGTAAAACTCTTCTATAAAGAAAGGAAAAAGGTTGGGTGCCTGGGTGGCTCAGTCGGTTAAGCATCCCTCTTAATTTCAATTTATATCATGATCTCCTGGTTCATGGGTTTGAGGCCCTGTGGCGCTCTGTGCTGCCAGCATGGAGTGCGCTTGGGATTTTCTGTCTCCCTCTCTCTCTGCCCTCCCCTGCTCGGTCGCTCTCTCTCTCTCTCTCTCTCAAAACAAATAAATGCATATTTTTAAAACAGAAAGGAAAAAGCAGCCCAAACTCTGTGTGTGTGTGGCTGGGGGTGGGGTGGTCAGGGGTGGGGGAATGGATTAATCCTCCTCGGTCCTGCAGTGAAAGGGACAGTATCTTTCACCTACCTGCAGTGTAGAGAAATTCCTTCATATATGAAGAAATTTTTAAGAGGAAGTAAGTAAGGAGTTAGGAATTGTGGAATACAAAGTTTTACATAAAATTATATTTTCTAATTTCACCAAATTTTAAGTAACTCCACTTGGAAACATGATTCCTTGAAAAACAAAATGAGAAATGACTTTCTCTACACATAATTTAAGGGAAAATACATCCAGTAGATCCAGGTTTTCTCTCCAGGCAAAAAGTAATTTGGAAAGAGCTAAGCAATATGGTGTTGGTAAACAGTGTTTTTCATAAAATGCCTGCCAGAAAGAGAATCTATAATAATTGCCCAACTCCAAATTTAAGACTTTATTCAGATCTTTCTTACCATTAGCCAGTATAGAAATAAAACTTATTAAATGGACGCTTTTAATGTCACTTACATTTATTGCCTGAGTATAGAGAAAAAAAAGGAACTTTTTTAAGACAAGCTATTTTTTTTTTTTTTTGCTAAATAAAAACCTTTACACAATAGCCTGAAATGGTAGAGTAATTGAAATGGAAAAGAAGTCTTGTGAAATTGTTCCCAGTGGATTTCTCTAAGTTCAGTTTCAAATACTCTTCCAAAAAGTAAGTTGATAACGTAATCAAAATCTCTTGTATTTAACTTAGTCTACTGATGATAAGAGTATAGCAGGTGTATAGTTGGAAAAGAATGTGGTTATCTGAAAGTATGTTATAAATTAAGTTTAATACCTCCAGCTCTATAGGATGACCTAAGAACTGTTTGCACTATAAAGGAAGCATAAGATACTTTAATTGAAAAATGATGGAGATCTATAATTTGCAAGGTTTCCAATTATGCTCTAATTTAAAGTAGCCATGCTATAATGCCCTATTACTACATTCCTCTTAAAGGAACTGTACATATTTATGGGTAGTTTTAGGGAGTAGAGTGGCCAAGCATTGAATCAGAAGAATTGATACAATATAAGCAATAATAGGATATGTCAAAATATTTTAAATTGGTTGTTTTCTAATTATATTCCTCAGAACCCCAGGATTGCCTTTGCGTGTTGGATACAAAGTGGTGTTAAAGGGCAGATCGGAAGATGCAACAAAAGAGTTTGGGGCAGCCTTGCCCCTTCCCCAGCCAGTCAGTGTTCATGATTTTGCATGTTCATGTTCCATGGAAGATTCGGTTTGCAAAAACAAGGTGTCACCTAAATTATATCCAAAGAAATCACTCCTCATTTTATTTTTCAAGGAAACTTGCCTCTCATTGGAATTACTTAAAATTTGGCATGCTTAAATACCACCAGTTTAGAATTTAAGAAGAAGGTCTTGTGGCAGTTGACTAGTAGATTCAATAGCTATTCTCTGAAGATTCTCTCCAATCTTTCCTTTTCTTAAATTTTTTTTTTCATTTTATTTCTTTTAAGAAAGAGAGAGAGCATGATCAGGGAAGGGGCAGAGAGAGAAAGGGAGAGAGAGATTCCAAAGTAGGCTCCACACTCTCAATACAGAGTGTGATTTGGGGCTCGAACACACAAATAGTGAGATCATGACCCGAGCCGAAATCAAGAGTAGGACGCTTAATGGACTGACCCACCCAGGCACCCCTCCAGTCTTTCCTTAATGTGGTTAAAGGATGTTATTTATAGAATGAAAGGGTAATGATTCAGGTAGGAGAGAGTAGTAGACCACTGGGGTTCTTATTTTAATGGAGGATGGAGGAGAATATGGGTGGTTTATTAATAATAACATCATGTCACATTACTATGCTTATGTTTTATTCGTGGAATTTATTTAAAATTTCAAATAATATTAAGAAGAGTCTAAAATCTTTCTGTTCAACAGAGGGAGACATGCCTTTTATAAAGTCAAGAAATATTGTCTTATAGTAATTAAAGTTTTGATTAAGTGAAGTCTGTTACCATTTAGGTTCTTTTACTTCTTCCTTTATAGAATTATTTATTTCTAATGCTTTATATTATTGACTGTTTTAAGATTCTTATTTAGTTAAACTGAATCTTGCAAAACAGCCACTGGTTCTACAGATACTTCACAGCAGTTGATTTGTGTAGGCACTTAATCTGGGCTAAATTTTTAAAATTTTATGTTTGCACATTACCAATCCAGAAGAGAAAACTAAAATAAATAATTAATTAAAAGCCCTCATTTTTAAAATTTTATAACTTTTGGAATATAATGTGTGATGATAATACAGTAGAGAACAATAATATTTCTATAACATTAAAAGTTTTTAAATTCATGTAAGATATCTTTCATTTCTTTAGACTATACTTTGTTTAAAATAACTTCATAGTGAAAAAACAGAAAAATATGCAGATATTGTAGTATTTATTGGTGAAGTAACTTAAAACTGGAACTGGCTGTGAACTTAACTTAATGACTTGAATATAAGTATATTTAAGTCACAGGTGCTTGTAAAAATTTTCTTTTCAGCCATTTATTTACTTGCCTCCATTCCTTCTTGCTGGTTTGTTAACCAGTGTCTAGATGGCAATGTTTTGAATCTTTTGCAGAAATGATCCTTGTAAGAGCATATATCATGAAAGATACTTTTGAAAAATAAGGACACGTTTAGTCTTAATTCTGAAGGTTTGTGGAACATATTGTCTAAATCAATTTGATAATGGCCACATCAGTATTTTGCTTTACTGGCATCTATGGAATAAATGTCCAGGTTTGAATCTAAAGAATTCATAAAGTGGACTTCTGAACACAGTTATTGTATTCTTTCAATTCTTTACTGTCATGA